AAAAAAAAAAAAGAAATGAGAAATGTGTAAGGACAAATGTGACAACCTAACAAAGTCACTGTAAATAAACAAGAAAATAGAACAAAATAATTTGCATGTAATTAGGTACATTTTTGGCTTTGGTGAATTTAGAACATTCCACGGAGTTCAGCTGCTTCAGTTCCATTGTGGAACTGTTAACAAATTGGTCTGCTTACAGTCCAGTACTTTTTGAGACACAGAACAGAAGAGAACAATCCTTAAACATTCAACAGAAGAGAAAAAATTCTTAAATTAAGGATATATAAGAATGTTTTGGTGGATTGCAATCCAGGAATTGTACAAGTTGTTTAGTACAGGAATCTTTCAACTTTTTTTTAATTGATGCAAATCAGTATTTTCCAATAAAACAGAAAAAATGTGATACTGTAATTATTATGAAAAAAAACAGTATTCCTTCTATTGCTGTTACAGAATCACTGTTAGTGATTCCATATACATTTGACTATATGGTAGTCAGGATTAATTTTTGCAGCTTCTAAATCAGTGTTTTTCAAACTTGGCAACTTTAAGATGTGTGAACTTCAACTCTCAGAATTCCCCAGCCAGCAACTATATTTCAGATGGTTATTCCTTGGCAGTATTTCTTTTTAACCAACTTGGACATTTGCTCTTCAAATCAAGGAGGTGTTGTAGTTATAGCAGATGCCCCTGAATTGGCACACTCCAAATATGTGGGATGATATGCTGGCTGGGGAATTCTGGGAATTGAAATCCACACACCTGAAAGTTGCCAAGTGTGAGAAACACTGATCTAGGCCAACCCTTTGCCTGGCGTGGGATTTCTAGCAGGGCAAATCAAAAGATACTATTCATCTATTTCAATTTTCCTTAACAGATTTTTGTGATTAAAGAATTGAATATCCAAGTGTCTGGAAGAATGTATATGCTTTCTCATGGCCTTTTCAAGGATATAGCTCAGTATAGAAATTAGCCTGGAAAACATGTGCTAAAGCATTTTTAAGAGCACTTTCAGAAATCAAATTTGTGAAACCAAACTTACTGGACAGCAGACAATATCAGCCAGGAAATCATGATTTAGAAGAGTGTTTTTTTAAACTTGGCAACTTTAAGAAGTGTGGACTTTAACACCCAGAATTCCCCAGCTAGCATATCATCCCACATATCTAACTACAACACCTCCTTGATTTGAAAGGAAATGTCCAAGTCAGTTAAAAAGAAATACTGGCAAGGAATAACCATCTGAATTATAGTTGCATTCTTTCACAAGATTTTAGGCCAAATGTTCAAAGTCAAAGGATTTTATAAAGCAATTTATGGTTAGTCAGTGAAAAAAGAACGTTGAACATGATGGTGCTTGGTTAATGAGCATATTTGGATCAAAGCCAGGATGTAAACTGTGTTGTTTTTTTGTGTGAGTTTGTGTCATTTCTTGCTTTGATTCTCTTGTTGCTCAGGCTACAGTCATGGTCAACCAGAAAGAACATGATGTGTTATTTAAATTCCAGTTAATTTTACTTTAAACAGGCCATTAAGTTTTATGTGTCCCTTATCTAAAACCACAGTGTGTGTTATTAATCCAGCTAGCAGAAATTGTGATGCAACCATTTTCACACAGTGAGAGGGAGGGTTAATTTTTAAAAGTGATTAATCTGCTAACTTGTCAGAGGATTTTATAAATCCTGCAAAGGCTGTGAGACTTGCTCACTTGTAAAATTAAGGCATCTTGAAAGAGAAATGACTCTTTGTTGCTGGACTTCATCATCTTTGAAGCATTAAAACTTTTGGTTGGCCAGAAGTGTCAACTCCTTCAGATTTCACGTGGACCCAAAATTAAAGGGTTCTTTTCAAGCAAGATGAGTTTTCTGCTTCCCCTGAGAAGCTAGACAGAATTATTATCTTGGGTCCTTGGACTTTTCATGATACAAGGACGTTTCAGGCAGGTGGGAACTCATCTCATGTGAAAATGGTTGCTTCTCTTGAAAGGGGAAAAGAGGAAGTTTTCAGGAATGCTTCTCCTGGGCCGTATGTCTGGCTGGCCCTTTCACTAGAGGTGATGTTTGCTTTGGTAGCAAGGAAATGTTCCATCTACTGCTGAGCAAGATCAGCCTGAGCTTTGACTAAACATATGTGTTCATTTTTCTTTTGTGTTTTGTATTTGTTTTTGTTCTGAAACATTTCATGAAGCTCGCCTATGGTTTGAGAAGACATTTGCTTCACTTCCACAAACCTGTATGTCAAAAGTAATTTGAATGGTGAAACACGGTCAACTCAAGTGGACTTTGAAGTTGTGCTTTCATGAGCTGAGCCAACAAACTGTGGTTTAACATAACCCCAGGCATAAGGGCTTCAGAGGGTGTGATGGAAATACAGTTAATCACTAGAGCAGGCAGGGCTAAACTCTTAACTGTTTTGGAGACTGGGGGAGTTTCAGTCAAGTTCCAGAGGTGGTACCGAAATATCACAGAGGTTGTGGAAAGAAATGCAAGTTCCTCATATTATGTTCCATTTGGTTTTGGCTTCTTGAACGATTTTAAAAATCCTGGTTTAGCATGACGTGTGAGTCTAAACCTAAGCTTGCTCTTAAAATATGAAGCCTGCATAATGCAGAATTACAAAAAAGAGGTTTGTGTAGCCCCCTTTACATTCCTACAAATATATTTGGGGAAAAAGCTACTCCTTTGGTATTTGGATTTACATGATTCAACTCTAACCTCCTTTATATTACAGAAAGAAGATCTCCAGATCTATGAAAAATATTGTCAAAACAAGCCAAAGTCAGAAGCTCTTTGGAGGCAGTGTGGAGACAGCCTTTTTTTTCAGGTAGGCTCAGTGATGCAAGCCATCTGAGAGACCTTTTTTCTCAGATCTTAGAAATGCATTAGTCGATCCCACACCAGACAAGGAGTTGGCCTAGATCAGTGTTTCTCAAACTGGACAACTTTAAGAATTCTGGGAGTTGGTCCACACATCTTAAAGTTGCCAAGGTTGAGAAACACTTGTTTGTGGCATCAAAACTCAGGAGTCTAATAGCACCTTTTCTGACTATCAGATGTTATTCAAAGACATAAACCTATACCTCTGAATAAAATTCATTAATCAGAAAAGGTGCTACCAGACTCCTTTTGACTGTGGGTGTGAGGTGAAGGAAGTGCATCTTTATTTATTTAGGTGTTGGAGTTATACCAGTTCTTCCTCAAGGAGCTCATTATTCGGTATTGCTAGCACAACTGTTAGTTGAACTTTGAAACAGCACTTTCAGTGGGACAGACATTCCTAAATTATTGTAAAGAGGCACACTTGTTTTTTCATAGAACAGCTTCCTTGTCTCTTACACCTAGAACATAAATCTAAGGCCCTACTCAATCAAATGAGCAGCAGGGTTGGCCATCTGCTCTTCAAAGCAAAGGAAGTAATTAATCCATTAGAGTCAAAAATGTCCTTCTTCCTTCCTGACTTTTTAAATCCTGAATTTACACCGAAACCAGAGCTCAGTTGCTGATAATACAAAACAAAGAAAAGAAAAATATTAGATTTAAAGTGTCAAAACTTATTAAAATGCCCCATGGAATTTGGTCTGGTAGAAATGGTCTTTTTCAATGCCATGATAAGGGAAGACATATTTGTTGTTTTCTTGGGCATTTAAGCACAGAACAAGCTAAGATATTTTTACTTACCCAAGAATTCTTATATGTGTCATCAATGAATATCAGCCTACAGGGTTTGACCTAAAATTCAAGACTGTCAAGATCATTTTGAATCATGATTTTGTCCTGCAGGATATTAACCAATCCAGTTAGCTTGTGTCATCTGTAAATTTGATAAACACCTGTTCCACCTTCTATATTAATATACAGTATACCACAAAGCCTGGGATGGAACTTGAATAGGTCCACATAGTTGACATGGTTCTTTTCATATCTAGATTGCTACTTAGTTGTAGATTCTATGACTATATATTACAGAAGCATTATACTCCTAATTCTTCATTGTGGTCTCTATGCATTTTAAAAATTGTATCACATAAATTGGTATTCCTGAACTCACAGAAGCATAGAGAGAACATTCTGAAGCTAAGCTGTGATTTGCTGGGCTTAGGAAGCTGCTCCCTATTCTTGTATTTGTCAGTTAACTGTTACTTTATCCCCGTTCCTTTTGGCCATTCATGAGACAATATCTTAGAATGTTCCTTGTGAGTCCCCTGCTGAGTTGGATGTCATTATTATTCTATTATCTCTCTCTCTCTCTCTCTGATTTATATTTTCTGAATCATAGCTTTACATTTATTCTTTTTCCCCATCTTCATTTGGCCAAAGATGCTTGTGCCTTTGAAGGCCCTGCTTAGCAAATGCATCCCATGGCATCAGAAGGACGTTTGGCTCCTCTTGTGCCCAGGTGAAGGACATCTAAGAGGTTCTTGCTGCTATTTATTTATTTATTTATTTATTTATTTACTTACTTACTTACTTACTTATTTTTAACTTTGTATGCCGCCCATCTCCCTCCAACGGGTGAGTCTGGCGGCTCACAATTAAAATCAGAAACCCCATCAAGAATTAAAAATCCCCCCATAAATAGTTAAATAAATAACCCATTAAAAATCGAATCTAAACAACAAACCCTGTACATAAATGCTAAAAACATTCAAGATGACCCGGGGGGGGAGCAAAGTCAGTCCCCCCACAAGCCACCTCCACTGGTGCGAGCCTATTGCCAGGGTTTTACCAAGCAGGCTAGTTGCTACAGTAGCAGGAAAATCTTCTCTCAGAGAATTTGTGGACTAATCAAGAAGGCACGCCAACATCTAAGAATGTATCATCTGCTTTGACACTGCCACAAGCTTTGTAGGTCATACCAGATCAGAACACGTGGCCCCAATAGATTATCTCTGTGAGAATGTGATCCAATAAGGCTCCATCCTTAAAATAGGCCACAGGTTTTCTCTGTTTGTTCCCCACCAATCTGATAATGTGCTTTTCGGGGATCAGATCATAAACAGCTCAGTTAAGCAAATAGCTCAACAGATTCTGAACCAAATGAGGTAGAACGTGGGAAAAGTTAGCTGGGAAAGTTCAGGTGGGTTATTAATTCTTAATATATTATACACATAAATCTTGAGGTTGCATTGTGGAAGTTGCTGTCCATACTTTCCTACCCGATCTTAAAACTAATAACATCTCCATAAATTTCTGACAGTGATGGGAAGCTTAAGGGATGCAAGCAGATTGGGGGAGTGCACCACATATGATGGCTTTTCTGTGTGTGTTTTTTTTTTTAACGATTCTTCAAAGGATAAAGCAATTCAGCCAGGAAATGTTCCAGCCCAATTTTTCTCCATGCTGATTTTGGGGGTAGGAATATAAGAGAGACGTCTGAAGTGGTTCAACCTGTTGGACCAGCTGTTTCTGCAGCACAGTTAGAGCAAGTGCTCTTCATAAAATTAGCAATGATCATAATAGCTTTTTTGAGAGAAAATCTGATCAAATGACTCTTTGTTGAACAACCTTCTCATCAGCTCTTCCTTGGGCAATGAAAACAGTGAAGACTTGGCATTGGCCAGAATCTGCTATTGGTTTACCCAAATACTATGTTAAGTTGGAAGAAAATAGTTCACAACTATGGAGAATTTGGATTCCACTATTTGAAAGTGTTAACTTTTTCTTTGACTTGTAAGTATAAACAGTCTTGCCGGATATAGGTGGATCTCCATGGCTTCAGCAAATTTATTTGTTTGTTTATTTATTTATATTTCACATTTGTCATTGACCACCTCCCTAGAAGCAACTCTGGGCGATTTACAGTAAAAGTATAAATATTAATTAAAATACAATAAAATGACAGTCCTACAAATAATAAATATCTTCCAAGATTGATGGTGAAATTATTAGGCTCAAGCATCCAAAGTGCTAGGAAGCTGTGCCTTACCAACTCAATTTAAATGACAAACTCTACCTAATTTTAAGAGATATCTCTGGATGTTCATTCTAACCTGCAATAAAAGAGTTGTTAGTTTTTCATATTCACATGATTTGTATTCCCTTTTACTCCCTGTAGCATATTCAACAATTAATTGAGTTTATTGAACTGTTCATGCTAAAATTGTTGGGCCTGGCCTTTTCATTTAGCAAAGTGAGAACCATTTTAGCAAGGCCTGCATACTTTCAACAAATCTACTGCTTTCAGTGAGGCACTTTAATTTAACATCACTGTTGGAGAAAATCTCTCCATCTAGTCAGCTTTTGTACATGGAATATGGGACCATCTTTTTATTCTACCCTGGCCAAAAAAAAAAAAAATGTCTTGCTTTGATCGTAGGAAATGCCACTATCTTTCCTTTCTCCATTGAATTTCCATTTGACCTCAATCTACAATTCTAGGAAAACCCTTTCCCATCTATTTGTCAGTCTTGGTATATCAGGATAGGTTTTCTTATACAAAATGATTCCCATTTGTCATAGATGTTTGTATGTGTGTATAATTAGATAACTGTGATATTTGCAAGATTGTCATGCAAACTGGTGTCTGCAAGATCCGGTGCTTCTGTCTAAACAATGAGAGCCGTGCTGCACCGTCACAACCTGGGCTCCACCCTTTCATATATACATGCAACATCACAACGTGTATACAAAAGAGGCAGAGTTTGTGTTGTGCAATGCTACACTGCTTTTATAGTTTGTGTCCCCACACACCCCAGGGCCATGGATACCTCTGCACACAAAGTAATTTGAAATTGCTGAAAGACGTGTTCTAAAAGAAGAAGAAAAGGAAATGATTCAGGGATCAAGATCCCATATCCTGATAGCAAATTCTGAAAGAATAATTGTGGTTGTGAGCTTTGATGCTGAAGGGCCATGCTGTACTTCATCACAGTTATATAGATTGAAGATGGTGGAGCAATGCTCCAGATAGAAAGAAGGTTTTAATAAGTCCTCTTGAAGCTGCTGGGTCAATAATCTTGCAGTTGAGTAAGCCACAAGTTGCAATTGCTCAGTGTAAGGACTTCAGTTCCCAGAATTTGCACACAGCATCACCTTGGCTATGGCATTGGAGACCAACACATCCGGAAACCTCGAGGCTCAGGAGGCTCTGTACTCTGAAAAGGTCAAGAAATGATATAAACAAGAAGGATAAAAATTGAATTGCTAATGACACCAAGGCTGTCCAGCAACTGCCTGAAATATCCTCTGGCAAACACACTGTACATGTTAGTGGCCAGAACAATGGAAGTTCTAGAAGAGGGGAACAAAGGCAGTTTGAATGTCAGCAAAATGAATTATCTTTGCAAGTTAGCATCCAAATCTCTTTGCAGTAAATGAATGACAATTGGACATTTACTGTGCTGAAAGAGACAGATCACTCAGATGAACTGCTACATATACAGCTTTTCTTTTCTTTTTTGTACCAAGTCAGTCTTGACTTCTGGTGACTGCCTGGACAAATCGCTGCAGTTTTCTTGGCAACTTTTTCAGAAACAGTTTGCCCTTGCCTTCTTCTTCTTAGTGCTGAGAGAGAGTGACTGGCCCAAAGTTACCCAGCTGGCTTTGTGCCCAAAGTGGGACTAGAACTCCCAGTCTCCTGGTTTCTAGTCTGGTACCTTTAACCGCTACACCAAACTGGCTCTCATATTATGCATTCATGTTTTTTTTGTGTGCTATTTGTTTCCTAATATCATCTAGTCTCCATTAGGCATACAAAGATGCTTTTCTGTAACACACAACCATCTCTTTTATAAACAGCCAGAGGATATCCATGCTGCGGATCCTAAAAGACATTGGGATTATAAAAGCAACAAGGTTCTTAGCTTTAAAAAATGTAAACTTGTAATTTAGTTCTTAGTGTATCCTGTTAGACCAGCAGTACTTCATTCTGTCTTTTCCTTATGTCTTTTCCAGGAATGTCAGCGAAAATTAGATCATAAACTCTCCCTTGATGCTTATCTTTTAAAGCCGGTCCAGAGGATTACCAAATACCAGTTGCTTTTGAAGGTAGGACTTTTCAGAATGGTTTGGTCTGCAAGTGAAAAGCACTGTATTTCTGCAGTATTTGATTGCACAGGAGGGAGAGTAATTATTCAGTCCATCTTTCTAAACGTGTGTTGATGCTGAGTAGTGAACAGAAGGCATTCTGCACATATTGGTATATTTTTATTAAGAATGTTTACATAGATAAAAGAAAGATATATAGTAAATATATATACACATAAAAGAAGGAAAAAGAGAAAAAAGGAAAAGTGCAGAAAGCAAAACAGTAGAAGAAAGATAACTAAAGAAACAGAGATGCAAAGAAATAAGTGACTTCCAACCTTCTTTTCAGCAGTTATAAACAAACTCTTTGTCCCTCCACCCTCTGTAATATCACAAAAATCCCTTCAGCCCCTCGTTCAGACCTTTTTCAATCATCAGATCCATAAATCATCATTTCACTTTTTTCCATTTTCAGCAAAAAGTCTGTAAAAGGTTTCCAGTCTTTTATAAAAGTTCTTATTGTTTTATCCTTGACCCAACAGGTCAGTTTTGCCATTTCAGCCACTTCTGCCATCTTCACAATAAATTCCTCCATTGTGGGAATTTCAGTATTTCTCCATCGTTGCGCATATAATAGTCTTGCTGCATTCTGCACATACCTGGAAGAAGTTCCAATTAGTTGGAATATGCAGTCTAAATTATATGATCCCATAACTATAATTAAAATGTTAGCCCTTTTTAAATTGATTGTATGCATTCATTCCAAAGGTTATTTTAAGTTTAATCAGAAACTTAAAGATTAGTTCAAGTTAAAAAAAAAAAAAAGTATAAGAACTGCTTTCAGATTCCTAAGGCTAAGCCTGAGATTTGGTTTAAAGTGGCCATCATCCCCAAATTCCAGATGATGCATTGAATTATAACTCCATGCGAAATAAGCCAATATTGGATGAAAGTTTTAGAAGGTGTAGTCTAAAGCTGTAGGTTTTGGGATGAGAAGAATCCTAAAACAGACAATTTCATTTTAAACTCCTTGCTAATACTCTTTTTATGATTTCCCTCCTGGGTCTGGAAAATCAGCACAACTGACAGTATCTTTGACACAGATATATTTGGTGTTTTTTATTGTATTTACTCGCAAGAATGCTTCTTGTAAACAAATATTAAAAATGGCACCATTCTAGTTCAGAGAAAGGTGTTTTGAGCTGTAGTTCCCATGATCGTCAACCACTATCCATGTTTTCTAAAGCTTATGAAAGTGATAGTCTGAAACAATGTTTCTCAACCTTGGCAACTTTAAGATTTGTGGACTTAAACTCCCAGAATTCCCCAGCCAGCAAGTTTGTTAGTTGCTTATCTAATCAACATTAGCTCAGCTCAGGGGACAGAAAGCCTGGGAAGAAGAGATTGAAAATATTCAAAGAGACTCCATCTTAATTAATTTGCTAATTAGAAGAGCACTGGAGGTTCCGATCACAGTTTCCACACCCCTAATTCTTGCATTACATTTCTGGCATTGAAGTCTATGTGATTCTTGCCCCTTGATTGTGCCCTGCTCTATGGGGCAAAGCCTCCTATTTGGTGATTGCGAGGTAATCTCTAAATTAGAGCTCCTAGCTTTCATAGAATAATGTGAGCATGCTGGGGATAAAATTGGGCTTCGTTGTGGCATTCTGGTGAAATGTGCTAAAACTGGCCAGTACTGTCTTTACTTTAAGCAGAGAATGGAGGGTATGGCTATGATTATTACTGATAAGCTAGTCTAGCCCCCAGTCTTACTAAAACAGTGTTATGTGAAAGCTTCAACTGATGAAACTATGATGGGCTGTAGAGGACAATATCTATGGGCCCATTTAGTGATGACCATAGCATATGGAAGATTGTGACTTGAACTGTGAGGAGAATAAAAGGTAAACATCCTGAATGAACTAATGAATTGAAAGAAAAATTAATCTTGTGTGTGAAACTAAGAGAAAAAAGAAGCAAGTAATAGATGTGAATGAAGGTGGACTGTTCTTGTAGAGTGTAGTTGAACACATGCAGGGAAGTGTAAGTGTAGGTTGAATTATGAATGAAAGGGCTAAAGAATATACCAGAAAGTATAGGTGTCATCTAAGGTGCTGTGGATACATGTGAAAGTACTGTGGGAATCCAAGAGTGCTTGCGGTGATATTAGAAGTATGTTGGTTGAGGCCATGATGAATTTTTGTATGCAGATTGTGCCGTATTATTGCCTCAGAACTCAAACTGTTTGAAGTGAACATGAAACAGAGTGTATGATCCCACAGGAAATATACATCTGAAAGTAAATGCATCTAAAATCAAAGTATTGGCAGGAAAAAATAAGTGAATGGTTGCTGATTATTCATAAATGGTAAAAAAAACTAGATCGAGTAGATTAATTTTGGTGCCTTCGTAGAATGTTTACTAAAGATGAGAAAATGGATGGAGAAATTTTAAGACATGCAAATGCTAGTAGAAAGACACCAAGTATATTCATTCTGTTCAAAGATGATTAATAAAAAAATGTTGAAGGAGTTTTCAAGCTTCTGGTTGTTCTTAAGCTGCTATCCCATTTTTTAGATCAGAAACTGAAGATAAGGGTGTTTTTTTTCCTTATCACCACCCATACAGACTTGGCAAGAATTAGATTAGGGATTACCCCATTTAACTAGACAGCATATGTTATTTTTTATAATGCTCTAAATTAGTCATACCCCTGTGAAAGCTGAAAACTAGAAATGGAGTACTAAAAGCAGTGTCGATTAATAGAAAATAAAGGCCAATCTGTACAAACATTTCATCCTTATCACTGTGTATGTCTTATTCATAAGCACTTCTCAATCTCTCTCCTTGATGTAATTTCCCTGGAACGTTCTGGTTTCCCCCACTGTCCCACCACAGATTTTTTGATATATATTCTTTTCATTATAACCGTTAGCTTCTCTTTTAATTGGTTTTACGATGTGTTTTTAGTTTTTGTATGTTGCCTTGAGTTGCTTTGCAATCTGATGGCTTATAAATTGAATAAATGAATTGGTACAACTGGAGCAGTGACTTAAAAATGAAAGGGGCTCTAATGTAGATTCTGGGCTTAACAGAGTAACAGTAATAAACTTTGCTGTTTTTTAAAATCTCCTTGTTTTTTGTTTGTTTGTTTGTGGGGGGGCGGGGACAGTAACCAGTAAATAGAGATAAGATTACTTCTCGGCCAAGTAAAATTCCTAGAAGGGCTGCTGAAGTTGTCAGAACAAAATCAGTTCAACCAGTTTTGCACTGTTCTGGTAGCATGAATGAATCTGAAACACCTCAAAATTTATGGCACTGCTATAGAGGGAAACATATAAGTTAATGGCCAATAATTTTAGGACCTCACAGTGAGAAAAAGACATTGGAGGTTTAAACCTGCCCTTTTTTATCTCAGCCACCATCTTGACTATTTTGACATTCCCCCCCATGGATACCCCAGGTTGAAATGTCCTTTTTTTGTATCTGAGCATTCATGAATTTAACTTAGGAAGGATTAACAGAACACACACACAGAACGCTTAACATCCAAGAAAGGTAACACTTTCCTACCTATGGTACCACCTTTAGAACCTGATGGATACTTCTGATCTCTGCTAGGAACAAATATTTCCTGGGAAGCTGTGCTATAATATCTCTTGTGAGGGTAGGGTTCCAACTTTTGCTGATCTCTCAGCTTCGGTTTTGTTCTCTACCTACTGAGTTCTGCTCTTTGTTTTTGCACCAGTTTCTTGACCTAGCTCTGCCCCAGCCAAGTGATGCATACCACTCTTAGGCTCTACATCAGTGATTCTCAACCTTTTTGAAGCTGCCACCCCCCTAAGGAGCGGAAAATTTTTCAAC